CCATGTTCTATGTTCGATTGTATTCTTCGACTTTACTCCGATTTATTTATTTTCGACAGCTGTTTGTGCCGCCATTACTATTGATAGCCGAAGGTTTCATAAGAATCGATTTATCTTTGTTATTTTTTGATAGAAATTTCTGTAAAAGTTGAATTTTTTTATATCTCCATATTTTGTATCAGATTAATTTAAAACATTTATTCTTAAATGTAAAAACCTGTTGGAAACGTGTTGTCTCGTTTTGCCTTTTTAACTACTGTTATCGAAGTGATATATTGATAATCATTCTTGATTAAACAAGACAAAATGTTATTAATGGAACGAATACCCGATCAAATTGGATACTTAGTTTTGACAGGGGATGGAGCAGTATTAGCAGTAACTATTAATGTTTTACAATATTTTAAGTGATGAACATTACGTTTTTATGATTTATTATGAAACGAATAATTCCATCGTTCACAAATTTTTTAACATGTTTTTTTGAAGTTAAAATTTGTATTTTTTGCAGTCTGGAGGTGAACTAGAAAATAATGAAAGAGTCGCAAATGTTATTATGAGTCTGGTGACTTTAGAAAGTAAAATAGATGATAAAACATCAAATAATAAATCTTTCAACAAAATATTAATTAAATATCCAAACCATTGTTACATCGTTTGTTTATCGAATAAGAAAATTCATGTTATAAAGAAAAAAACACATTCTGCTGAAAGTCACACAAATTCAAACGACCAGAATCTTATGGATTTTCCTCCAATTTAAATAAATGTATTTATTGATATATTGAAAATTCATTTTTGTATTATTTTGCAAATGTATTTAAACGTAAATGAAAAACAATGAATTTTTTTGTAATATGAAACATAATTATTAGTAATATTATCAGTTGTTATACATAATAACAAATTGCTTTGTACAGTGATATTAATAAAGGTATATCAAGATACAATTAAAAAATTATAAACAAATGAGGAATTATAATTAAACATTATTGTTTATGTATAATCACTTATAAACAACTTGAGGATGATGAACTATTTTTACGTCGTTTGTCTCGTTTAGATTTGGTTCGTGACCTCTTCTGTTTATCTTTCAAAATTTTACTACTTTTTTTGCGTGATTTACTTTTTCGCGACTTAGCTGTCTTTGCACTAATTTTATTTTTATGTTTATCGGATCTTGATCGTTCAGAATATACACTGCATTGGCTATTGGATCTCTGTGATTCGTCATCATTGGCTGAGTCAGTCATAAAATACAAGCTCTCAGTTTTTATTTTTTCATTAGCAATTTTCTGTGCTGTTCTTTTTTCACGATGTTTAATTATACTATCATGACGTTGTACATTATCATCGCTTTCCAGATTACATGAAGATCTACTCCGACTTCTGCTACGCGACGAATCTTTCTTATCAACATACCATTCTTTTTTATTGGAATCCTTTCGCAATACTGTTGAATTAATTTTTATCACGGTAGATTTTAATCTAGATCTCGACGATCTAACACTATTATCATCTGAATGATTGACTGCATGATTTTGTCTGTGTGTTTTATTCTTTAGTTGTCGAGAAACAAATTTTTTTTGTAACTTTTTGAATCTAGAGCTACTGCTACTGCTTCTATAACTTGTGCTGCTGCTTGTTGAATCGCTGCTGCTATCACTACTACTGTAGCTGGAAGTGGTACTGTCATATATTATTAATTTCGTATGTTTTTTAGGTTCATTCATAAGATCTTTCCTAACTCGTACACTTAGCATTTTAGCACTATCATCCTTAACCTTTTGTTTTCTTGAAACATTTTCTGCATCACTATCATCTTCAGAACTACTTCGTAATATCCAATTCTCTCGAGCACTTTTTGTAGTTTTTCGTTTTTTAATCTCTCCATTGCTATCAGACGAGCTAAAACTATATCTAATACGTTTTTTTGAAATTTCTCTCTTTTTTGATGAAGGTTTATGCGCAACTTTACGATTACTTTTAGATGAACGCTTTTTTCGACGGCTACTTTGCTTTCTTTCTTGACTGTAATCACTGTCTGAATCACTATCACTATTATCGCTCGATGTTTCACTTAGGGTTGAATAATAATTTGAGTTCGGATTGTAACCTCGTCGTTCATTATTATATGAAGTACTTGGATGACTCGTTGATGGCATTGGTGATGGTGATCTAGGACTAAATAAATATTATTTATCATAAATACTACTACATTCTTATTAATAGGAGCTTTTAAAATATACTTACGTCTCTACTACAGGTACAATAGCTCTACTTGCTTCATTTTCTCCATCGGAAGATAAAAGTTCAATTATTTCTGGAGTTCTTTCATGACGTGGTTTTACATAGCCTATTATTTCACAGTCTGATTCAGAGGAACTTGAAGAAATTGTAAGAACACAGGGACTATCTTCTGGTGTCTCTATGCGGAATGTTTGGCTCACTGTACTAGGTCCTAGTAATAAATAAAAATTTATTTTTTAGTAATAAAGTTCTGCTAATAAATAGAACATCTTTATTTAGATATCGTATGCTTTACCTGGAACACTCAATAAGTGAGGACCAACTGAAGGCGGTTCTGTTTCAACTGCATCGATGTGATCAACAACTCGGACATCAGAGTCATCAGATGTTGAACTAGTACTATTACTACTAGATGATTGTGATTGTACTTGATACCAATAAGCACCGGATAAACCTAAAAAAATGTTAGATAAATCAAAAATTCAACATAAAATTATTTTTTGAGTTGAGTAATTAGATAATAATGAGATGCAAACCACGATTAGGATGATGTAGAAAAGTAATAAGATCATCATAAGCCGTAATATTTAAATCAGTGCGAGCATAATTCATAAGCTCATGAATAAAGTGATCCGTATTTATACCAAAATAGGGACGAAGTACATTACGAAACTCTGGACTACGCATATCATATCTAGTCAGAGAGCTCGTAATTACTTCTAGCACGTAAGCAATTTGCGTGTGGTTTTCGTTAAATAGTGTTTGTAAATCACGATTTATCCAAGGAACTAGACGATCTATTTCTTGGGGGAATCTCCTGAAAAATATAAACTTAAGTAAGATACCGAGAACTTAAAGAACAAATTTTTTCTAACTTGAATAAGTTGATATCGTATGCTATACCTATAATATTCTGCACTACATTCACGGAAACGAGAATGTATATCAGGTATAGGATCAGACCAAACACCAGTTCGGTAAATATTACGACGATATCGTCGTTCTTCATGAGAAACAGACAAAACAGAATTATTGGGTACTTGTTCTTGACGAGCGTGTTGAGCAGCAATCCATAGAGATCCTCCAGAGAGAGTTCCATACCGACGATTAGGTGTTAATGTCGTTCTACATGAAATAAAATAAAAAAAATTAGTTAATATTATTATTATATAAAAAATTTTTAAATAAATCAACTAGCTCATACCGATAAGAAAATCTCCGGATTGTTTCTGCCATGGAAGCTGGACTGAAAGCAAGGCTAAGGTTAAGTCTCGTTGTTGTTGCTGTTGCTTGAGTTGACTCTCTAGGCACATGATACTGATCGTAGTCTTCTTCTGATCTTACATTGTGGATAATTGATTTAAATGTTTGTTTACATAATGGACATTCAGTTTTTTATTCTAGACCATTGCAGAAGACATGTAAAACAAAATTGATGTAAACAGCTGTCAGTAAAAGATGTATTCACAAGTTTTCCCAAGCATATGCTACAATTTGGCGGCGGCGAAGATGCTTCATCGCTTCTGTCACCAGAATTTGATGAAGTTCGATCTTCTGCTTTCACTGGCTCTTTGGTTGTAGATACTGAATTTTCACTATTAACAGGACTCTCCATTGTTATTACTTGTAAACGTTGTCAGTCTCATTAAAAAATATTCACTAAAATCAGAAAAATATCCTTTTTTAAATGATTTTATGAATTTATTGTTCAGGATTGCTTTGTAATTTAAATGGATTCAACGTCATTTATGGAGCATGAATAATTTTATGGTTAGAGTTCTCTCTCATACACTATTGATGAAAATAAATGATAATAAGAGTTTTTTACTCACCATTATATTGCAAAAATGACATTTTTACATTATCAAAAACGGATTGATAATGCAGACAAAATTTTTAGTCGAAAAATAGCCATTTTTAAATCCACTATCACACTAAAGATTAAACGAGAAGTGTTGAGTAATTTCAGGATTTTAGTACGTAGAATTGATCCGTGCGTTCAACTATTACATTATTGGAGTATTCAAGAAAAATATTATTTTAGAATAATTAAATAATATATAAATTATTGTAATTATTTTTTTGAGATATAATTTTGATCGTAATAAATTGTTTTTATCATATTATCACTATATTTTACAATATTGGTTCTCTATTATAGTCCTAAAAATAAATATTTAATAGTTCAAACTAATGTAATCAAACATACGAGCTTTTAATGTCAACAACACCCCGAAAATATTAAAAAAAACCAATTATTAATGGAATTATACACTACTAAAAACGAGAAAAAGTACCATATATGATAATAATATTTGAGGACTATTCAGAAAGACAGAAACGCTATGCTTGGCTTTGGGTTATTGCTTTTCTGCTTAACATTTGCGCATGCGCATCATTACATTTTTACTTCACAGGTGGCAGTTTATTATACTTCTCATAGTTTTAAAATACGTTTCAAGTATTTATAACTTATAATTATCAGAGAGGAGTCTTCTCTCTGTAATTACAAAAATAGACATATACTACAATATAGAATTTATTTTTTTTTTTTCGAAATTTCAGTATTACCTCCATAAAAATCGAAAAGATTATTTTGTTATCAAGTACTATTAGTTTGCATTGATATTATGTATAACCGAATAACAATAATTCATAAGTATGCAAAATTACAATTTAATTTACAGTGTTTATATGAAAAAACAATTTGATGAATTATATTATTTTATCATTAAATATTGAATAATTTTCGTCTTATACAAAACAAGATAAAAAAAATACATATAAAGGAACTTGCTAATTTCTGACGATAATCTTACGTCTATCTGCTTCAAAAAAATGGCAGAAACACACGTAAATGACTAAGGTAAAACAAAATATTCAGATCTGACGTCAGTCTTACGTTGGTTTGGTTACTAGAGTACTTAAATTAATTAATTCACCTTTTTTTATGTTTAAAAATAATTTACTGGGTTTAACCATTCTAATATGGATAATAATTTAACTAAGAGTGAGATATAATTTTATAATATTTTTAAAATTGTTATATCACTGATATAACACGAAGTTCTTGAACTTCTGCTCGAAAAGTTCGTTACTTTTGTAATAATCTCGGAATTTTAGTTAAAGTAACAATATTTATAAAAAATATCCTAAGCTAACATCTTGCACATTTCAAAGGGCATATTGTTATTTACTAACTAACACCTTTTTCCACTCTTACTCATCACAAATAAAGTTCCTAATCAAGTCTACCTATCTTCTGAAACTGATGAAAAAAAATCCTTATCTACTCTTTTAAACTGAATCAGTGAAAACTACTGTGAATCAATGAATATTCACTGATATCCAGTGCCAATCCAATCACTCAAAGAATCAGTCATTGGATTGGTACTGGCAATCAGTGAATATTCACTGATTAGTAGTAGTTTTCATTAATTCAATTTTAGAGAGTATCATCTCTACCTTCCTTCACCAGATACCCCTTCTACCCTTAAAAATAAGTTTACATTGTAAGTAGCAATTTGTAACGAAAGCAGAGCTAACTTGTATCTCAAAGTGACCAGTTCACTCTTTTAACTAAGAAATAAAATATATATTCAATCCATCACTTCTGTGCTTGGAATTTGATTTCATTAAACTTTGAATCAAAAGTAGGAATAAATAAAAAATTGTGTATATCTACGAAGATCACAGTAAAGCCAATTCTGTCTAAAAAATAAAGTAGATTTATTGAATGTTTCCATGCATTTGAGTAAAAATGTAAGCATAGTGAGTCAATAAGAATTTTAAAGAATACATCTTTTAAATGTATTTTTATTGCTACTCAGTAGGTGGCATATAATGGCAATTTCTTTATGAATTCATCTTCATGAGAAAAATTGTGTTTTTGAATTAGTTTAATATTAAATATATGTTAAACTTTATGCATACTTCCTATATGAACATAATAATGTTTGGAAATCAATATTCACAACATTAAAATAACAAAGAATACTTAATTGATTATTTGAAGTGCTATTCTGCAATTAATTTCATTAACTTAGCCAACTAGTTAGCATAATGAACAAGTTAAAATAAATGGTATTTGTAATTTAAATGAAAAATAATTTCGGAGTATAATAGTAGATTTATTACAATGAAAATACATGTTCGTAAACTTTTTATTGATACGAAAGTTTTAAGTATAGATGAGATCATCTTCAATAAAACTATGTAGGGATGTTAACACCAAACTCAATACTCAAATGCAATCTAATACAGTTACAAAAAGAAATGATGCTTAATTCCGACAACTCTCTCGTATATCTTGCTAGTAAAAATATAAATAAGCTTATATAATATAGCCATTGATCTACCACTATTTTTATTCTAATATAATTTACTAGGACAATAATTTATCAACTTGGTGAGTTTCATTGATGAAGAAAGACATCATATGAATATTTCATTTTTCATTATATCATGTGAATATTTTTACTATTCATAACAACATATTAATGTTACTAATTAATAAATTATACATCATTTGTCAGTTAATCGATGATTATAACTAATTATAATTATTTCAGACTTGGATGAGTTAAAATATACCTCCTATTTGTTTGTTTAATTAATGGGACATGCCTAAAAAATAAAAATTTATATCTTTTTAATGAATATTCTCAGTGGTATTATAATTATTTAATTAAAACTATGTAAAAGATTGATTATAATGATTACCTTCAATGAATAAATTTTCTATATATTTAAAATTTTCAAATTATCATATTTATTTTGAAAATTTTTCAACATAACTGCAACAATGATTCATTTGTACTGTTTGTCGGTGAAGAATAGCAATTAATGTAAAAGGTATTGTTCTCTATGATGAAGATTAATCTGTAAAACAAAAAAAAAAAATAATAAATATTAATAAGATGAAGTCACGTATAAATAAGCTAAAGTATTTTTTTCTTGATAAAATTTCACAAAATTTATTTCTGTTTTTAGAAATAAGATAAATCTGTCAATCTACGCTATTCAAAAAATATATAATTAACTCAATTTGCGAATGTAAGTTATGTTATTTATGACTTCAATATCATTATCACAAAAAAACTCCAAATCACACAAGAGAAAAAAAAAAACGAGACTATCAATTTTTGTAACGTTAGTTTGAATTAAAATAACGTCCAAAATCAATTAATCAGATATATCTTTTAGTAGTCCAATGTCACTCTTTTTATACTATTCATATTTTTGATAAATTTGTAATATATGAGTTTAGTGCTCCCTAGAAAAAAATATACTGTTAGTTGTGTCAACCCGTGAACTCAACGATTTAACACTTGATAATTACAGTTCACTGCATAGTTCATTGACAGTTTTTAATTTATTTTTTTTTGTAACTCAATTCGTGAGAATTTTATTCTTATTATAACTTTATTTGAATCTAAATATAAATTTAATTTATTTTGGACCAATTATTTATCCAACAATAATAAAGAAAATTTATATCAAATTTAGTCTCAATTCACATTAAAACATTAATAAATGGAAGACATTGAAAAGTAAAAAAAAGATAATTACCATGATATGATTTTTGTTCTCAATATGTGCTAATGATGCTTTGGTAATATTTACAATTATTGGCAATACTGCTCTAAGATTTCATAAGTACACGGTTGATGACAACACTCTTCTACAATTCCACGTTTTCCACGTGAAAGGATATCACCAGAGTTTGCAGATGGTTCATTAAATCCACGTTTACTACATATATGTGAAAGTGCATCACTTAAATCTGTTGAGCACAACCGTATTTCCCTTTTAACTAGCGGTGCAGTTTTCACAACTCCAAAAACATTGAATATAACAATATTTATCAAGATCAATGAGGCATAAAGAGCTCTTGGAATCATTATTAATTTTTATTTTGAAAATTTAAATATTTTTGTCACAGCCTGCGTCAGTTTTTACAGCATTATAACTCTCTCCATTTTGATGAACAATATTACAAATCCAATCAGATATTAAATGAAGATTTTTATTAAAAAAACTGAGTAATTTTTATTTATGTTTTATTTTTAAATTTGATTATGAATTAAAATCTGCTGCATTAACTGAAGAAATTCTGATCTTTAGAACATGTGACTGATAGGAATGAATGTACTGTGATGAAGCTGTCAATATATTATATGAAGAGGTTTCGTAAGTATGAAAGCACTTAGTTTCGGTCAAGTTTCTTCGGTCCTACTGAAGCTGGCTTTGCCTTTCTTTGGACTTATTTGCTTTTGGTTAGTGCGCTAAAAGATATAGTGAAGACGCTGCTGGTGATAGGGAAATCTATTAGTAGGGAGGGAGAAACTATATAATTTGGTAACGATGGAATGTGACAAATGATGTGATTACAACGAATAAACAGGAAAAATTATGTCATCAGACAATTTTTTACTATAAAATTTGAATCCAGTATCAGTCCTGAAATTGATGTCGATCAATACATTAATCTATTAAGATATCTCTAACTACATTGTAACCAGGATAAATGATTTATCAATCATTATTTTCTTGATGTTTTCTCTAGTTTCTATAGATTTTATTACTATTGCAAAAAATTATTGCGATAAGTTCTGATCTAATGCGCGTGAGGTCAATAAGTGAAAAAATAATAAAAACTGCCTGAACCTAGAAAATTCCAGTAATTTTTATGCCGATGATTCTTTCATGACTTTCGCTAAATGACATTGTGATTATATCAGATATTATAAGTTGAAAGAATTAGTTATTTTTATTTGCGGTATGCAGATAGTTATTTTTAATATTAACTTATAAATAGCTCAATGATTTCAGCAAATAAAAATTTACTGAAATTTTTATTTTACTCCGAAATGTATTTTGATTATTAGTTGTTTACTTGTTCCGAGCAAACAAATAATAGCTTGTTAATTTTAATTTTAAATTAACATATTATTCATTATTATTATTATTATTAGTATTAATAATTAAGATTCTAAGTAATAAAGAATCTTTTAAAATGTTTGGTCAGCAAAATATGTAAGAATGTTTACTTATATTCCCAATTATTTTATTTGTAAACAAAATACAAGAACTTTGAAAAATTTAATCAAATGAAATATTAAATAAACAAGTTTATTTCGAAAGATTGCAATTCCATGTAAAGAATTGTGAATAATCTAGACATAAAAAATTATATTCTTATGGAAAATATTTACTAAACTACAGAAAAATATTTGTTTTCATGATAAAATTGATTACGTTCATTCATACTTCTTGTCTCGTCGAAGAAGGACCATGATCTATTGTAGATCATGAATGAACCTCTACTAATTGTGTACTAGTATCTACTTTTATACTCTATACCAATGCACAAGCTTTGTCATATTGAATAGAAAATAATTATAAATCACATTAGTACATTACATAACATCAACTTATAAATATCCATTGAATTGTGATATTCACAAATGCTAAATAATGAATATGACAGTCATTGAATAAAACAAAAAGATTGATGTCTTCTAGAAAATCATTAGAAAATCATGATTTATGAGCAAATAATACTACTATTACATGAGTTCAATTGTTTAAGCTTGCAAAATTTAATCAATTATGAAAATCAATCGAACAATAGTCAATAATACAAAATTTCATAACACACTAGTTTATTACTGACATTTAATTTTTCAAAACAACTTTTACTAGGTTAAATGAGCACTAAATAGTAAATAATATCATTAATAATCCTTGAATTATAATTAGAACAGATAAAAATAGAATTTGCAATACGATTGAGAATTACATTCAATAAATGAACTAGGTAAGATGTTATTATGGGATTCCCAAGTAAAAAATCCATTGTAAAATGGTCAAATGAGAGAGAGAAAGAAAGAGAAAGGTGACGAGATATACGATATAGTTTAAGTGCAGATTCTTATAATAGGATAATGGGAGTATTAATACTGTGATAGTGAATAAAAATAGAACGACAAACAAATCGAAGCTATCTAAACACCCAGTTCGAATTTTATTATCGCATTTGAATGTCTGCGGGGTCGTTTGTATCACTTCTCGTCTCATTTTATTCGAAAGGCGTTGTCTATACACATATACAGGTCGCCTGTCCGAAGTCTAGTTTCAGTTTCTTTCTCCCTGGCGCCGAGATAATCACAGCTCTTGTGTGTCCTCTTATGCTCGTTGTTGCTTTTCATTGATAATTTATTCTATCATGTCAAAAGTAACTGTACACAATACTAGTATCGAGAACAATTTTAATAGATACTTGAGCAAGAGTACGTTGGATTCAATACTAGAAAGAAACGAAAGACTAAAGAATATGATTTTTTTGATTACTAATAAAATAATTGGGAAGATAATTCTTACGAATGTAACTCTATTGAGAAAGTTATTAAATATAATAACTATACATTAATTGATAAAATGTTTTTATTTTTTTTTTTGTATTTGATAAAGAGCAATATCAACCGAATATCTGGTTACATTTAAATTTATGCATTGATGAATTTTTTAATTAAAATAAATTATTAATTAAGTAGGCTGTATAGTTTGGAATTTTTTTTATCAACAATGATGTCTTACCTTAACTAAAAATACCCCAAAACATTATATTTATATGAAATAACCTGATAACATTCTAATTTAGTTTTGGTTTTTCTTCATTCTGGTTGTTTTACATATTCAATTATCTAAAGTAAAAAAGAAAATAACAAAAATATAATAAAAATAGAATTCTTGACTAAGAATAAAACAAAAAATATACCTTCAAAATTCTTGCTTTCAATCTGGAAAAGTTGTTGTTGTCAACATAATTTCATCTATTATTGTTCGTTACATAAATTTTAAAAATTTAGTTTCAATGTAGAATAATTATATTTTTAAATATAACAAAGTAAAGATGAAATTATAACAAAACCGAAAAACAGGTTATTTTATACAATTTTCATTTCAATCGTGTGACATTTAAAACGATACAAATAATAACATTGTTCTTTATCATAACAACAGAGGAAAAACAATGATTTACTTATCGAAACAAATTCTAATAATAATTTGTTTATTTATTATTATTTAAAGCTTCAATATGAACCTATGGATGGTAGTGAGTTTGATGTCTCTAAGGTTAGTGCCATAACACATGGGGGCAACCATGAAAAAGAATAAGTGATGGAAACAAGTAAAGAGAGATTCCAAAACAAATCCTCATATTTTGCAATATCGCCAGACACGACATTGCTTTTAATCAATTTTATTGTATGCACTTATGCACTTATTGCGTTGTTATCTTAATTAAAGAAAAATAACAACGTGTATCGGCGGGGGAATGAGTCACAGGGACATTCCCCTGTTGGTATCCCTTGTTTTTTATTTATAGCCGACCGCAAAATACGTAAATAGATCTGTTGAAAAATGCTGTCATATGCTGATGCTAATTGAGTATTTAATTTAAATTGTATAATGGAAACAGGCCATTTCTCTGCATCTGAATTTTTATTTAAAAAACTAGGACGAATGTGATAGTGTTTGTTTATACTCTTGTTAGCAGTACATAAATACAATATATGTATATACAATACCAAATAACATCCGTGGAAGTCAAAAATACTGTCGATACCAGAGTACATTGAATATATTTATTTTAGATTAAAACTCGGTAAGTTTATCTTAAAATTGAAAATATTTTTCACAGAGTTGATGTTATTTTTTTTTTCTTTTTGGTTAGGTTATTTATCTGAAATGATGATTTCTAAGTTGAATAATACCACAGATGATGAGTAATAAGGTATAGAACTGGATATAAGAATATCTTGGAGTTTCGTAACAAACTTGGCTATTTTTAACACTCAGTGTGATAATAATATCAGATAAAAGAAATTTATAACTAAAATGTGGCAGTACCGTTTTGTTCTAAATACCATGTGAAATATACATATATCAAACAGACATCTCACGCAACTTCCATGTTTGTATTTTTCACGGTCCATGTAATCTAGACTTGACTGCAAAGTAGTGAAAGCAAAATAAAATGAATAAGATACGATAATCTGGGACACAATGGAATTATAGAATTACACCAAGATTTCTAAAGATGTTATTGGCGCCTCTCGGTCAACCACGTGTTGATAAATATGTGTCTAGCCGAGGCAAACGTTCTTCTGTCACCGAAAAAGGATCATTTGTTCCTCCCGTTTGATCTCCCTCGTTGCACTATCTTTCAACGCGCGACTCAAGAATGAGATGCACGCAGAAAAGCCAACTTGTTTTAGTAGGACTCAAGTACCGACTAACGTCGGATGTCTTCGAGTTCTCTCTCCTGTTCCGACCTTTTCTCTTGTCATTCTTTTTATCAAAACCTACGTTTTCTTCTCATTTTAATTACAATCGCACACCAATCTTACGTTATCATTTGTTGATATACTTGGGAGGTTAATTGAATTATTTATTCAATAAATCAGTTTGATGATAAACATTACTGTGAAATTGTTTTTGAGTTTCCAATGCAAAATTATAAGCTATCCAAGAGCATTTATTGAAATTACATCAAAGTGCATGGAAGATAATAAATTATATAACGACAACGTATACATTCTGAGGATTTAATGAAAATTACATTGGATAATCATTAATTGCGTTAGAAATATGTCGATCGCAATGAGATTACCGTTCTTCTTCACGACACTACTACTCGTGATTCTTTTTGGTATTCCATCGACCTTGGTTGAATCAGCGCCGCATCAGAGGACCCTACGATTGTGCTCCAAGAGCTTGAGTGATGCTCTTTATCTCGTTTGCAGTGATCGTGGTTATAATGAGCCTTTTTCGAGTAATGGGGATGAAGACACAAGAGTCTCAGCTGGTCCGGGAATTGTGGAAGAATGTTGCCATCGGTGGTGTAGCTACGCGCAACTTGAGCAGTATTGCAAACCTCCATCCTCTAATTAAAAGTGTTGGATTTCGCAAGATGGAATCTAAATCACGGTAAATATTTTCACTTTTCATTTTATCTTATTTATTACCATGTTTTTATTTCATTCTCAAACAACATTAAATATTTTTTACTCCTACAAACTTGGTGTACCTTTATTCAGTGTTAAATATTACCATCATTTATTATTAAAAAATAAAATAATCAACTTGAATTTATTTTTTTATTATTGAGTTTAAAAACAAGTGTGAAATAAATATAATAAAATAAAGGATTGAATAAAAATATGATTGTGAAGAACAGTTTAAAATGAATAATCGTCTCTGTCTTGTGATTAAAATTTTAAACATGATGTAATAATGATGAGCATAAAACTTTCGTTGATTTATGTTAAATATAATACATACATTACAAGTGTGTTAAATTTTTTATCAGTAATTTAGTGTTAGAATTAGAAATGACATATATAAAAACAAGTAGAATGATTGAATGATTAATATGAATTGATAGTAAAAAAGATTCATGGGCGAGATGAACATTGAAACGAAGAAACCAGGACGATTCATCAACAAATTGAACAAACGGTTATCATCTTGACGCCGAACTCTTGCTATCTAATATAAACTATTCATAAAGTTCACGGCTGGGACAGAAACGTTCTGCATGGCTTGTTCCACCGTGTTCCGGCGTGACTGATAGAGATAAAATGACGGGTACTGAATAAATGAAGGAAAAAACTTTGTTATCATCTTGTTCTCGAGAATGTTATGTGACTTGTTTTTCCAAAATTTAATCACTTTAAGACAAACTTATATTCTTCTTGTATAAATATATTTACATCCGGGACTGATGAATATATATGTTTAAATATACATATATAATATATGTATCTATATTCCAAAAGTCAAGAAATTCCATTCCATTTATTAATTAATCTTAAGAGAAAAAAAATGTATTCTCATATTTATTTTTAGACAGTATTATTTTCAATATACACATATTTTCCACTTGTATTATCAATTCAATACTATTTTTTCATTTATATTTTCGATATACGTTACTGCCATTATTGTTTATTATGTACACTTTTCACTTCTTATTATTTCTGTATCATTGCATCTATTTATAGCTAAATCACTCGTTTTCTCATTATAACAACAAAACAATCAATTGCTGATGTTATTTTTACAGAGAAATTCAAGGAAAGTCATCATTTTCATTAAAGCAACAAACGATGTTTGATAAAGAAAATCAGTTAATTATCATCAGAAAACTATCAGCAAAATACAGTGATGTCTATCACTGCAGAAAACATTTAATTTCAACAATCAATATGATTATTATTTACAACAAAGTTACAAGGCGTAATCACGAAAAAATAACAAGTTGTAGTGGAGAGAAAGGCGTATGGAACGAGGAACCAAAGTCTATTTAATAATAACGTATATGTTGGACTTGATTGACTTCTCTGGTAATTATTCATTAAAAAAATATTCATATATAATACTGATCTATATAATTAATAATAATAAATTGATATTTATTTAAATAATTATTTTCACAGTTTATACTGCAAAAATATTGTGATATGGACTTGAGATAAAAGTTGACAATTCAATTGCTGGTAGCGGAAACACGTAACTCGATGATTTGGATTATAAGCCATTCTTGTCTATTGAAATCACTTACGGAGTGGTACAGAAGATTATATACGTGATTGACTGTGTTACTAATAAATTAAACAAATTATAGACAATTGGGATTCCAATATTTGGAATTGAGTGAGAAGAATTAAGAGACAATTAATGCAATCAATATATTATAATACGTGTACAGTTTAATTGAATTACGATATATATTATAAGTAAAGAAAAAAATATTTTTTCAGGCTGTTATTATCAAGTAGTGCTTATCTCATCGTATTGAGCCCTCAAAAAATATTTTATATTATTATATGAGCAAAATACGATGTCAATAACTGATGATCTCATTAATATTAATTAGCAAATTTTTCATAGAATAATTATATATACATGAAATTACTAAACTTTTTATGTATTCCATTTAAAAAATATTAAATAAAATTTAAAATATTAAAAATAATTATTAATGTAATTTATCAAAGCATGAACTGATTGAAATAGTTTTTAGAGAAATAAAACTTGTGATGATGAAATTTAAATATTTGTCTTTTATTTGCCGCCAAAATTACACTTGAGCGCCACGAGTCGGAGAATATGAAAACGTGGGTAATTTAAAATTAAACATTCCTATCTTGACGTGTTTATCTGTCTTTGCTTTACCTTGTTTCAGTCCACCCTAATCCAAACGAAATAAATAATGGCTGACCTGTGTCGTTATTGCGTGCATCCAACGATAATAATATTTACATTGTAAGGCTGGGTTACAGTTTTACCTTGAAGATTCAAGAATTTGTTTTGGAGTTTTTGTTTTCTCACAAGTAACCAAGTGGAAAGTGAAAAAGCACAATTGATTATGATATCAGCTCGTGAAGCGCGCTGAACAACCTGGCATACGTAAATATGCATCATAACGAAAAATTTAGCAAAAAATGCTTTAATATATTATCAAAGTGTCCATTGTTATGACTTGTACAATGGGAACAAACGATGGAATTCGAGTTTCTACAAAGTGAAAAATGTAAATAAACATAAAAATGAAGCGAATTTTTATTGTTGACCAATATTTTAGTATTATAGTTGTCGATGTTGTCAATGTCTGACTCATACTCTTGAACTTATCAAGAGTTTCATTAAATATTTCACTATGGTTCACATACCGAGCGCATATACTTACGACTTTTGGACTAAAACTCCGACTGAAGTAGTCGAGTTGACATGTCTCATGCCCAATGGTGTCATCATTCCATTGGAAGCTAATCGGAATATTACCCTCGCTGAAATCAAAGAGGTAAACAATCTTCAATGCATTATACATTTATTCAATAAAATATTTACTTCATTAGATACTTAGCTCATTTTCTTGATTTCGAAGATTCATCCTTGTGCTCGAAATCATTTATTTAACTTTCTTTATGTTTAATTTTAAACAAAATAATAAAAATTGTATGTATTGTTAATTCTATGCCGTTGAATGATGCTAAAAATAATTTTGACGAATTTATTTTTAGGACTTATGGGAAGAAGCAAGCAAGTATCCGCTCCATGGTACATTAAAAGATGCACCATCTTACGTGTTCTCATGCATCAATTCAAATGCCGAGGCCGAAGAGTTAAGAGATGAAAGCAGAAGATTATGTGATATAAAACCTTTTTGTTCTGTCTTGAAAGTTATTGAAAGGGAAGGGGTCAAAGGTGACAGGAATTTAGACTCACAGATTGGTGTACTGATAGGAAAAGGTCTTCATGAGTTTGCTGCATTGAAAAACTCCGAAGTCAATGACTTTAGATGGAAAATGCGACTGTTGGGAGATGATATCGCACTGCAACGACAAAAACTCGATTGGGAGGAAAAGATGCGCTATCAATATCCACCTAGATTAGCACCAACTTCAGCAATTCCGAAAAATATTGAATCTCGACTCAAGGATGGGAACATGCAGGTCCTTACTAAATTTCAGAGTACTGAAGTAAGTAAAAAATTGAACAATTTATTCATTTATAATATAGCTACAATTTTTGAAAAAATATTTATTATCAATAATTCTCTGAATTAATTATTTTGATCATCATTCAATGTCGAATCTTGTGAAACATGTATTATTGGATATTTAGGAGTAATTTGCTTGAGAGGTTTCCTCGAAGATTTTGGTTCAACCATATCAGTTGGAAATCTCAAAGTTTTCTTTTCTTTTTCTTGAGTTATGTCCAAATGAGAAGAAACAGCTTGTGTCAAACTCATGTTTGTAGACGTGTTATTACAATCTTTGCCAGTATTTTTTAAAATTCCTCTTTGTTCAACTTTAGCTTTCTCATAATTTGGGTTGTTTTCTTTAGCTTGAAGTTCGTCTTTTGTCCCTGGGCTATTAATATTAAAATAACAGCTTTCCTTATTTATTGGAGGTGATGAAAGATCAATTAAATCTGTATATCTGGGTTCTGATATATTCTTATTAATTAAGTTATCCTCAGCAATATATTCTGTTATTTTTAATCCTTGGGATCCGAAATCATTTTTATCTTGACTGGTAATATCATTGTACTTATTTATTTGCCCTGCTTCTAGTTGGTCTGAATAAGAACTTTCATCTAATATGTTTTTCACCTTATTTTCTTGTTGTATTATTTCCAATAATTCTCTATGAATTGGCGAATCTTCTGTTTCAAGACGACATTCTATAGCTTTTAACTGAGCCTATTATACATAAACAGAAAAACAATATTAATAAAAGTACACTATTTTTTTACAGTAATATATAATTACCTCTTTAGTAATGGCTTTTTTACGCCAGTATCTAAGATTATCATTTATTTTACACTTTTTTTCCTCATCTATCAAAGCTTGAATAGATGCATTTTCAATTTTTCCTATGAGCTCTTCATTTTCCTTCTTTTTAGCATCTAATGCTGATAAAAAATACCTAATAAAATATTTTATATATTATTTATTTCCACGATTAATATTGTCATTATAATTATTGTAAAAATTTTCTTACTGATATTTATCATCAATTGGTTGTAATTGAGTTTCCAAAAGTTGAAATTTCTTTCGCTGATCTTCAAGTTTAAATTTGAACTCCGTAATTGTTTCTTTATATTTTTCAATAAGATTAGCATTTTCTCGGATAGTTTCATCTCGATCATTTTGTAATGTTGTTAGTAAAGCAGCTTTTTCTGCTTGCAAAGCTTTTATTTCATTATTTTTAACCTGTAAAGTACGTTTGATTTCATGGTAGGTTTGCTTGTAAGTCATCATCGTTTTATATACTTTTTGACGACGATCTTCTAGTTCTGCAAACACTGAATTCCCTGTAAAAATATTTCTTATTTGATAAATGAATTCTATAGATTCCAATACTTATCGTACAAACCTTTTGATGCTTGATCAGCTGGCAACATTTTTAAATTATCTAACTCTATTCTACATTCTGTTAATTCATCACGAGTAGCTTCAAGAATTTTATTCTGTTCTGCCAGACGTTCTTTAGTGTCCTAAATCAACGAAAGAGAAATTATTTAATGAGCAAATAATTAGTACGATTTGATACTTACATCATAGACTTTTCGTAACTCGGATAAATCTTTGAGAGTTTCTTTAAGATCTTCTTCCAACTTTAAACAGGCTTCCTGCTTAGTAGACAACAGTGTTTCTAATTCTTGTATCTTATCTTCTAGACCTAAAATATCATTTCTAAAAGAAATTTCATTCACAGGAGGAGCTATAACAAGTGTTGATAATTTTTTATTGACTTCATCCAATTCTTTTTGTAGTACTACATTCTTTTCGTCTTTTTCTACCAATGTAGCTTCTAATTCATGTAATCGAGTGGTTAAAGTATTTATTTTTATCTTGTTCCTACAAATAATAATTGTAACAGTTGTCACGGTAGTGAATGAGTTATTAGTCATATTAATGAAAATCTATGAATTACTTGTCTTCTGCTTCCTGTAATTTCGTGTTTATTGAAGCTTCCAGTTGTTTTTTTGATGTTTCCAAAAACTCTATATTCTCCTGTAAATCCTGTTGAAGGGTTGTCATACTAATTATTTTAAGCTGCAGTTGATGATTTTCTTGTTTTAATCTTTCATTCTCAGCATTTTGTTTGGCTATCAAAGCCTGAAAAGCTTTGTGATCATCACCAAATTCTTCATCATTTCCTTGAGCTAATGTTTCACTGTTAGTATCACAATGGAACGTTGAATCAAAATTCATTTTGAGGTTGGAGTTTTAGCGTCTTTAAATTATACTAGAAATATTGTATGAATTATCGATTTAATTTATTAAATTATTAATTCACAAAAAAATTACAATTAATATTAACTATACAAAAGTATATCTTCTCATTAATATCTTTTTTAATATATAAAAATGAAAATAAACAATAACAAACGTAACGGACATTCAAATCGAAACTGTTTGCTTTCAGTTTGAATTTTCCAATGTCTGTCGATAAAGTAGAGTGGAGCCTACAAATTGTCAATTTTTCAATTTGACTAAAGATTATGAAAAAATTTTCATTTGCTTTAATTGAAATTAACAATATATATATATTTCTATTGAATAAATTAAATATATTTAAATTTATTTTTATTTTCCAGACGACTTACACTTTTCAAATATCTCACGATACAACGCCATATCAACTGATAGATCTAATTTTAAAGAAACGTGCAAATACATTGATGTCGAAGGATGAAATACCATCGGATTTTACGTTAAAAGTATGCGGTCAAGAAGAGTATTTGATTGGTGACTATCCGCTGATTCAATATAGCTACATTCAGAACTGCATATCACGGGATATCACTCCAACTCTCATCACAATAAATATAAATAACGTCATGGTAGATCAGGATAATTTATTCGAAAATCCTGAGTTAGATACTTTAAAACGAGCTCGACCGACTTTTTCTACTCTTACATTGCGCAAAAAAGGTAAACATATTTCAGCTTGGAAAATCGAAGATTGGTTTGTATTCAACGTCAATGGGATCTCTCGATTGAATTGTGATGCAGCGAATAGAACTGTTGAGGTAAATTTAATTATTGAAACTAAATAAAAATTCAATGAAAATCATCTTAATTTAATTATAACTTTACTTAGCATAATAATCGTGATAATATTATTCCTCAGGTGGGGTTACAAGCAGGTTTGTTTCACGGTGGAAAGTCTCTCTGTGAGAGTCAAAAAACCAAAGAAATAACTGTCAATCCCGATGGTAGTTGTTATTGGGAAGAAATGCTCAAGTTTGATATCAGGGTCAAAGACATACCACGTAATGCACGACTTTGCTTCGTTCTTTATGAAATAAGTAAGACTGCTAAAGGCCTCAAAAATCGAAGACTGGTTAAAGATTCAAAACAAGATTATTTTATAAATCCATTGTGCTGGGCAAATACCACAATTTATGATTTTAAATCACAATTCAAAACGGGTGCAATGACACTTTATACATGGACATATGTTGAAGACATGCAAAATGAAGATTTGTTACATCCTCTTGGGACTGTTGTATCTAATCCACATATAGATCGTGCTGCTGCTTTAATGCTTACATTTCCTAAGTATTTATCAACATCTAAATAATTCTTTTAATATTAAAAATTTTCCTGTGTATTTATTTACTTTATTGTTATTTGATTTTAGTTACGGAAAAGACAAGTCTGTATTATATCCTTCGCCAGATAAAGTTGTTGAATACGCCATGAAGTTACGTGAAACTAAAGAAGATTATGGAACTGAGGATATAAATCAAGAGTCTGAAATGAGTAAACAACAACTAGAACAATTAAAGCTGCTTGCTGATCGTGATCCTTTACATGAACTTCATGAGCAGGAGAAAAAGACAATATGGGCTTTGAGAAGACACTGTCTTCGTGAGATACCAAGTTTGTTGTCAAAATTGTTGCAATGTGTAGAGTGGAATGATCATGAAGAAGTTGCTGAGGCAACTGCTTTAGTACAGCAGTGGCCAAAATTGCCTGTAGAAAGAGCCTTAGAATTATTAGATTATGCATATGCTGATCAAACGGTTCGGAGTTTTGCAGTTCGCTGTTTAAAGGATGTTAGTGATGAAGATTTAAGTTTGTTTTTGCTGCAATTGGTTCAAGCATTGAAGCATGAAAATTATTTATCGTGTGATCTCACCGAATTTTTATTACGACGAGCGCTCAATAATCAGAGAATAGGACACTATTTATTCTGGCATTTAAGGTTCATTTTAATTTTTTAAATGTTTAATTTTTTATATTATGTTCTTATACTAAATAATTTGTCTTTGTAGGTCTGAAATGCAAGTAGCATCTGTATCAGTACGATTTGGACTCATTCTTGAAGCTTACTGCCGTGGTGCTCAGCAACATATGAAAATTTTATTCAAACAAATGGAATGTTTAGATAAATTAAAAAATGTCTCTGAGCAAGTGAAGCAACGGAAAGATCGTAAATTAGCTCTTACAGCATTTCAGGATTATTTACAAGAACCGCATTGCCAAGAAGCTCTCTCCAATATTCTTAATCCATTGGATCCAAGCTTTCGATGGCATCAAATTAAAATTGAGAAGTGTAGAGTAATGGATAGTAAAATGAGACCCCTTTGGCTTGTGTTCGATAATTCGGATCCTTTTGGAGACGATATTTATTTAATTATGAAACATGGAGATGATTTAAGACAAGATATGTTAACTTTACAAATGTTAAGAATAATGGATAAATTGTGGAAGCGAGAAGGTTTAGATTTACGTATGAATCCATATCGATGCATATCTACTGATAATCGAGTTGGAATGATTGAAGTAGTCTTAAACGCTGAAACGATTGCAAATATTCAAAAAGAGAAGGGAATGTTTTCAGCTACAGCTGCCTTCAGGTTATTCTTTTTATTAAAAAATATATAAATTAATGATTAATTTTTTTAAAGATATAACTAAGAATTATAATAGTTAATCGTAGAGAAAAAAATTAAGGCAATACGTTTTTTTTTACAGACGCGGTTCTCTTCTTACTTGGTTAAAAGACCACAATACCACAAAGGCCGCACTTGATAAAGCAATAGAAGAATTTACGTTAAGTTGTGCTGGCTATTGTGTAGCAACTTATGTTCTCGGAATCGCTGACCGGCATTCAGATAACATAATGGTCAAGAAAACTGGCCAATTATTTCACGTAGACTTTGGTCATATTCTTGGACATTTCAAGGAAAAATTCGGCTTCCGGCGAGAGCGAGTGCCCTTTGTACTCACTAATGATTTCGTTCATGTTATTAACAAAGGACAAACTAAGAAGGGTCAAGCTGTTGAGTTTCAACGATTTCAGAATTACTGCGAGACGGCTTTTTTAGTTCTTAGGCGTCATGGTGGATTGATTCTGTCTCTTTTTGCTATGATGATCTCCACGGGATTGCCCGAACTTTCGTCAGAAAAGGATCTTAATTATTTAAGAGATACCTTGGTAAATTATTTAACACATTTTTAATTATGATTATTAATAGTAATTAATTTATTCAGAGAAATAATAAATAAAATAATTGTAATGTTATAGGTATTAGAAATGTCGGAAGCTGAGGCACAAAAACATTTTAGAAGCAAATTTGATGAAGCTCTTTGTAATTCGTGGAAAACTTCGTTGAATTGGGCTTCTCATAACATGGCTAAAAATAATAAAACTACGTAAAAAATAACGTAAGACTGCAAGTGCTCAGAATTTATAAATTTGTTTATGATTATTTTATTAAGAGTGGTAGTTGTCAGCGATTCATTTAATGAGATTTCATAGATTTTCTGATAATAATGAAAATGAAGATGATAACATACATTGCCAAATGTTTTGAATATTTTTTTTATGAGTCTAATGCTCACTACAAAATGTACATGTTAATCCATATGCCTACAACAGTGTGATTATTCAAAGCAATATCAACTATTTAAATAATTTAGATAAAAACAACACATTTTTCATAATGTAATGTAATCACTGGCTCCACTCATTTGTATTGTATAAATAATAATTAGGATACAACTTTTTCAATTTTTAATCACAATTGGTCAACTATTCGTATAAATAGTTACAATTGAATCTTTTTCGAATGAAACACTTACCAAATAAATCTGTAGATTTTTAAAAAAATTTTCACACACAATATTTATAATAATATTTTTTCGAAAAATTCTTAATGAAAAAAAAAAAAAAATTACCAATAACTACATTTGCTTTGTATATTTGCTAGAACAGTTAGATTTTCCAAATGAACAGTAAAATTAATTATAAATAGTACAATAAATAAACACAATAGGCACCACTTTTAATAATCAATCACATACGCAAGTGCCAATAAATTGTTATTTTAATTTTCATTAATTATTTCGAATTTATAAATCATTTTAGATAATATTAATTCGCTGTTTATCCAAGACTTTATTGATGCAAATCATTTTCTCAGATACAAAATTATAACTGCCTATCTTATAGTTTTAAAGATTTTTCTTGTTCAATTTCTGTATTTATATTCAATTATATATCGTTATTTAATTTTTCCGTTGTTGCAATATACTCTAAAATTCTTATATGATTATAAAATAATTGACCAACATTTCTAAAATTGGATTAACAAAAACTTACATTCAAGATCACTCTAATACAAAATGAATAGCTTGAAGACTCAAATTAATGTTATTTTTTGCCAATATTGTTTAAAATTCACTGTTTACTAGATACTATCAATTTTCTTCTTATGATGAATATTTGTGGTACCTTGTCCATCGTTCACTGTAAAAATATCTTATCAAGTATTAAAATATATTAAAATAATTAAGTTAAATTATTTTAACTCAAAATAACTAGCAGTTTATTTTTATGACTATTTATTCTTAAATAAATGATATTAAATAAAACTAATATTTTGTTGAACAATATCGGCTAAAAATGGACTATAAATGATATTAAATCGTTAAGCATTTAATAGAAGCTTCATGAATTTCAATTTTCACAAACATGAATAAAATATAGATATTGTAATGGAAGGAAAAAAAGTGAACAAAATTTTAGACACAGACTACATTTTTAGGTTTGGTCGCGATGCAACCAAGTACAATGCAATTATAATTATGATAAATATTTAATAATATTACTCTTATTATCAATATTATTATTTTAATATTTTATTATAATTATTACTATTATTACATTTAATTGTTAGTTTTGCCACAATCGTCGTTATTTCTTTAATTGTACTCCTCACTATTCTTATATTAATTATAATTATGATTATTATATCATTTATAATAATTAATTTATCATAATTTATAGGGTAATTATGTTTCTGGGATATGATAAACCATGCTCTGTTTAAAAAAAGTAAGAACAGCATAAGTTAATATTTAGATTTATATAAATTACATGTTCACTAGTTAATTTATTAACTATTAGGTTGATTTATTGAGACAAATTGTGCGTTAAATTACACAAAAATTTCGCAAGAGATTTAATTTTACGTAACTTTTATGTATTGTATTAAATTGTCATTATTATTTTAAGTTACTATCATTTATTGGGTGAAATAAGTTTAGTTTAGTTTATCTGTAATTTCTAGCCGTTTTTTTAGTTAATACACAGCAATTGAATTAGTCAGTATATAAGCAAGTCAACTTGTCATATGACTTGTTAAGAAATTAATGAAAATGTTGTGAAAATTATTCGGCTATTATTATGATTATCATTGGAATTTAAGAGATATGTACATAATTGTAAAAAATGTTACGTTGAATCTGTTGAATAAATTGATCGATTTTCATTAATTCTGGATGAAAAATTTAAATCGATCAATTTTAGTAAATTTGACCGTCGATCGATAATCGACAAAAATGCAATTCAAATCATTAACAAATTGTTATTATAAACGAATTTGTTATTCGTTTTTTTTGTCGATTTTCTGTTGGTCAGATATGAATTATTTTAATTTATATCATAAATTTTTACGAGATTAATTGCAAAGAATTATTTAGGCAAGTATATACTGAAATTGCTGATGAACGCCATCACTATTATTATAAATATGCTTTGTCTAATTATTCTTGTATATACCGTTTAGCTTTTAAAAACCAAATTCAATGTATTTCAAACGTTATTTATTACTTATGTAACGAAATGCAAACAAATAGAAATTCACAACGATAGTACGTAGTTCATTGTCTTATTGATTTAAAATCTCCTTTCCAGGTATACAGTTTATATGTAGTAATTTATTGATTGAATTAAAATATATTTGATAAATAATCGAATTGAAAATACAAGTATATTAATGTATATTGATTTCAAAAAAATATAAAGGTACACGTTGTAATAATATCACCCTCTGTATATTAGTCTTAGCTCGCTTTCAATACAGCTCAGTACTCAGCTACTCTGCGATCATCCCACTTCGAAACGTTAATTTATCACGTGAATATTGTAAAAAAACTATCATTTATTTCTTTGTGAACTATCATCATTCAAGTGGTGAAGTAGTTAAAATAATTCAATTAATTGTATAAAAAGTATCAGTAATGTAAGTCCAATTGAGTTGCATATTTATGATAGAGTAATAGAAATTAAGAAAAAATTCCAATTAATTTCTCTCATTAATTAATAATTATACTTTCTCAGACATTAATAGAGATAATTTAACTATGTTTTTTCATGATTATTTTATTGAGATGTGAAATAAAGTTCACTGTTGTAAAACATAGATTAAAATCTATATGATGTATTAAAGCGATTATAGTTCCATTCGAACACTTGAAAGAAATTGACTGATTAGAAAGTCAATAACTTATACAAATTTATTTATTGCACGGGTGTATTTTTTTTATTCAATAACGTCATATATTATTATGGATAAAAAACAAATTCAAAACACTTTAAAAATTTCTTTTATTGCTATTTAATTGGTAAATATAAATTTTAAAAATATTTTTATTTCAGATAACAAATAATCAAAATAATTTGAATTTAATTTATCGAAGAAATTATAAAGTGAAAAAGCGAAATAGATAAAAATGACTGAGAAACTGTTGCAAATGATACTTTATCACAAACAATGAAAGAAATTGCAAAAACGTCTCACAAACGATAGTAATTTTTATCATCTTTGAAGCTTGGAAATTTCCTCTTCTTTTTCAAGAAATAATCTTTTATAATTCACGTAAAAAATGACTGCCACTGAAGAAAGCCAGCCTTTAATTCAACCAGCTCCAACTGCTTCAACAAGTTCAACCCAACGAAATTATAATTCAATAAGCATTGTGAGTACATTTAATATTTATTACTTTAGACAAAAATGTTATTGATTGTAACAATCAATGAGAGAAGGATAACAAGTAGAGAAGGAAATTTGAAGCCATATCATGATGAAGAAGGGAATGGCTTCTCGAGAGAAATCGAGAACTCCAAAGGGATTATGGAGAGAAGATATTCTTGTCAAAGGGGACTGCTAAGTCTTATACGTTTTCAACGTTCAACTGATAACTAAAAAAATTTCTTTTTTTACAAATATTTAAATTTATTTTTTGATCTGTTTAGTTTGCACAATTATCAATTTGTTAATTTACAATGATATAATGAAGGAAGAAGAGTTAAATAAAGATAATATTCTTATTGCATAACTTACCATTCCTATTACAAAAATAATCAAAGTTATGAGATGAACCCAGTTAATTATATCGGTACTCAATAAAGATAACAAAATTTCCTTTCTTTCAAAAACAATAAATTAACTAATAAATAATCAGTAATTATATCGATTAAATTTATTGTAATTAATATTAAATCTTGAAATAAAAAACATTAATTAAAACAGTGGGAAGCGAAAGGAGAACAATTGTCAAATACTCGTGATGCATCTTTGGAAAATGTTTTACGAATGGAACCGATTGTTTCGTCGGGATCGGAAGGTGAAAAAATACTAGAGGTTCCTGATAAAATTACTTATACGTGGAGTGATGTGAATGTTTATACTACCACTCGAAGTACACGGGCATGGGAACGTCTTTACCGCAGAAGAAAACCAGTTGAACAGAGGCACATCCTGAAAGATGGTAAAAAAAATTAAAAGATAATACTATTGCTTTTATATGGTTTGGTATAAAGTCATGTAATTTTATTTTCCAAAATTCTTAGCTTGACCATTTCAATTTAAATTTATCCATTGAAAACCAGAAGATATTCAAAAACTTTTTACGATCATCAATTCTTTGCTAGTCTTTGTTGAAAATAATAAAATCAATTAGATTAAGACTATATTTTTTTAGCTTAGCATTGGATTATCAGATGGTATTTGAAAGAAAAACTAATTTTTTATCAATTTAAAAAGAAATTTGGAATACTTCGAGATTTTAAAATGTTTTGAATTTATTGAGTTTAATAAAGAAATGGTAAAATAACGAAATATATTTTTAGTCTCAGGCGTGGCATATCCAGGAGAATTATTAATAATTATGGGCTCATCAGGAGCAGGAAAAACAACTTTATTAAACGCTCTGACCTTTCAATCTGGTCGAGGTCTAACGGTCTCTGGAATGATGGCTGCAAATGGCCAAAGAGTGACGCCAAGTGTACTTACGTCGAGAACGGCATACGTACAGCAGGATGATTTATTCATTGGTACTTTAACTGTCAAGGAGCATTTACTCTTTCAAGCCATGGTGCGAATGGATCGGCACATTCCTTATTATCAAAGAGTTGAAAGAGTTAATGATGTTATATCAGAAGTAATAAATGTTAATTTTTCATCTGATAGTAATTAAATATTAAGAAAATGATGTTCTTTATTAATCTAAAAAAAAAATCTTTTAATAAATTCCATGTAATGATTACTTTTTTATAGCTTGCTTTAACGAAATGCCGAAATACCATTATTGGAATACCAGGTAGAGTTAAGGGACTTTCAGGAGGTGAAAGAAAAAGACTCGCTTTTGCTTCAGAAGTATTGACAAATCCTCCTTTGATGTTTTGTGATGAACCCACTTCAGGGCTTGATTCGTTCATGGCACATCAGGTGGTTTCAGTGTTGAAAGATTTAGCTGGTAATAATTATTTTTAAATTAGCAGTAATTTATTTCTTGAAATTTTTGAAGTTGAAAATTAGCATCAGCTGTTTAATTCAAAACATAATAAATCAAATATTTTAGCTCAAGGCAAAACAATCATTGCTACTCTTCATCAGCCTTCTTCTGAACTTTTTGCTCTTTTTGATCGAATACTTCTCATGGCAGAAGGTCGAGTAGCATTTATGGGAACACCTGAACAAGCTTATACTTTTTTTAAATCGTAATAAAATTTGTCAAAATATTTTTTTGAATGCAATAAATGAATTGGAGATTTATATTCACTAAAATCATTTATTGGTCTAGGGTGGGTGCTGTATGTCCAAGTAATTACAATCCAGCAGACTACTTTGTTCAAGTTTTGGCAGTAGTAGCAGGTAAAGAAGCTGAATGTAGACATACAATAAATGCAGTATGTGATGCATTCCAACGTAGTGATCATGGAATGAAAATAGCACTGGAAGCTGAAGCTATTCAGAATGAATTTACAGACTTGTTAAAAGATAGAAAATTTAAGGATAAAAATCACCCTATAAAGCTTCTTGGTGTGAACAGTTTCGTGCTGTTTTATGGCGTTCCTGGCTGTCAGTTATCAAAGAACCCATCCTCATCAAAGTTCGTTTACTTCAAACATTTGTAAGTCTTCAACTCGACTTTATAAAATTACTCCTCCAAAGATAATATTTTCACAACCTATGAAAATTTTTCTTCAGATGGTTTCTCTTCTAATTGGAGTTATTTACTATGGTCAAGTATTAGATCAAGACGGAGTAATGAACATTAATGGTGCACTCTTTATATTCCTAACTAATATGACATTCCAGAATGTATTTGCAGTTATAACGGTAAGTTTTATTTCATTCAATAATAAGAAACATTTTTAAATAATTTAAAATTTTTAAAAATATAAAAAAAAAATAATTTCAAAATATTTTTTTAACTTATAATGATGTTAGAATACACTTAAACATTAACTCATGCTTGTAACTTGACTTTTACTTTACATACATTTTCCATAATTATGTTTGGAGTTTCAGTAAAACACCTCTTGCAAGTTGAACATACTCATAAGTTCATTTAAACTAAAATTTATTCTGCTTATCTCCAAAACACAGTAGGAAACATGTAAAGCTTAATTTCATATACATCAAAAGTATGTAATATAGAGATTATTTCTGAACAGAATTGTAATTGATTCCAGGTTTTTTGTGCCGAGCTTCCGATATTTTTACGTGAACATCGTAATGGAATGTACAGAACAGAGGTGTATTTTATTTGTAAAACTCTAGCAGAAACTCCAATATTCATAGCCATTCCTCTACTTTTTATATCCATAGTTTATCCCTTAATTGGACTTTATCCAGGTGCTGGTCATTTTTTTATAGCTGCTGGTGTCATGATACTTGTAGCAAACGTGGCCACTTCATTTGGTAAGCAAATTTAGCAAAACTCGTTGATTATAATTAGCTTAAAAGTGTAGTTTTATTGGAAATAAATAAAAGAGAATTGAGACTTATATTTTTATTGAATATTTGCAATATGAGTATGCCATTTGAATCGCCAAGGATTCTTTTGTATTTATTCTCACTTGATAGAATTACAGAGATCATAAATATTATATTTCAATGACCGTACTTGAACAAACACCACCGCGGGGGATGTTTATCCACAACTTTAGAATGCTTGTTTATGCAATAATTAAATTGTTAATGTTGTTCAAAATTGTCATAATAATCTTGGAGTAATTATATTTAATATCATTATGTTATTTAACAGGATATCTGATCTCTTGTACAAGTACAAATATTTCAATGGCTTTATCTATTGGTCCACCTGTTATCATTCCATTTCTATTGTTTGGAGGATTCTTTCTAAATACTGCGTAAGTATTTTTAAACATTATTAATCTATCTAGCTATTATTTAATAAAGAAAATTTATTGTCCTCCAAAAACATACTTGATACCAAGTGATAGCATTTCTTTATGATAATTTGAAATAAGAGTTAAGCCTTTCTTCACCAGTTATTCATTTTTAGATATTTCAAGAAATAATTGTCTCCTCATTTTCCAACATCGATCGTTATTTAAATTTCATGTTTATTTAATGAAGCTATACATAAAACATCCAAACTTAAATGATTAAGACATTTCATTCAATTTATTACTGCAATAATTTATAAAAATTTTTGTAACGGTCTCATAAATAATTTAATAAATTTATTGTTTATTTATGACAGCTCTGTACCGTCGTACTTCAAATGGTTTTCGTACCTCTCCTGGTTTCGTTACGGCAATGAGGCTTTGCTAATAAATCAGTGGTCTGAGGTCGAAACGATTGCTTGCACACGTAGCAACGCAACCTGTCCCAAGAGTGGACATATGGTCCTGCAAACATACAACTTCAACGAGGTTCGTGGATCATTTAATTTAATAAATACTTCATTTAGTATACTTTCTTATTATAAATCAGTGAAAGTTATTGATGATCAACAAGGTTTTGCTGATTTTCTATAAGGAAATCATATTAGTAAATACATCTAGAAGATTGATAATCCATGAACTATTGTTGGAGTAGTTTTATTAACTTCCTGCTGCTATAGATAATTTTCTAATGTTATATCATCTTATTTTCATTTTCAGAATGACTTTACATTAGACATCGTCTGTCTTTTCTGTCTCATCATCAGTCTACGTCTGCTTGCATTTCTCGCCTTGTTTTCCAAAACTCTCCGTCGACATTAAGAAAAATGTATGCAGCTGAGAGCATCAAATTACAATCTTACATCTAATTAATCATAAATGTTTAAATTATAGCTTTTATTAGTTGGTTTAATTTGTATTTTTAAAAACTGTAAATATCTAGACAATTATACCATTGTTGATATATTAATTTATGATTGAAAAAATATTAATAAAAAATATCAAATGTATGAAGAAATTGTATTCTAATCAACCTTGTTTCTTTCCATTATTCGCTGATAAGGAACTCATGGAATTTAGATAATATGCTTTATTAATTAAATAAAAATGATTGATTGTCATGAAAGTGTTGATGCATTTAGCAACCCAGTGGCCTGTGCTCTATATTTATCTTATGAAATTTATATGACACAACATTTTGGTATTTATTTATACTGCCAAATACCCCACGACCTGTCGTGAATGATTTTAAGTGTACTTATTCCAGGGGCATTTCCTGTCCACGACAACAAGACCACATCGATATCAGTATCGTAAGAAACCGGTTGATAAATACACCGTGTGACCACATCAAGGGTTAAAAAAAATATATCTATGCCCTGAAAAGATGGCAAACAAATTCACTCATACAAACAAATGTAATGCGAAATTTAATCATGAGACAGAGCAATATCTTGGTGGTATGGTCGTAAAGAAGTTATATCCGTTACTCGATATCATTTTAGAAGTTACGTCAATGCGTAATGAAGTACATATTTATGATATTTATCATTTCAATGATTTTCAGTTTTATTTCTTAGCGTATTTTATCGGCCTTTTTTGCGGAATCAGCAAATGTATTTACTATGCCTTCAGTTGACTCTAAGCATTGGGTAATAATTTTTTAATGATTTATGTTTATGTAATAAATAATGTTAATTAATTTAAATAATGATTAGTGATAATATTTCATTTATATAGAATATATTATTTTTTATTGATTAGAATAATTTAATATTAAAAGTGATAATTAAATGAAAACCTGGCAGCAGTATGAAGAAATAAATTTTTTTAAATGGCTTTGAATTTAGAAATTAAAATTGTAAAATTTTTAATTAAATCAGATCCTTATGAATATTTTCATTTAAAAAAAAAGGCTAGGACATTGTAAATTTAATCCCTATTTATTTCTTGACACAATAAAAAGGTTTATCCTTGTTTTTCTCTAACAAGAATTTCCCTTTTTACTACAGAAAGTAAACCAAGTAGTGTAGAGTTTCGTTCTTCGATTAATTTCCTACCAAGTTCTAGATGCACAAGGATACTTGTTCAAATTTTTATGTAACACACGCCATCATAAAGTACTATATTTATCACATGAAATAAGATATTCAAATAATTTATTAAATCTATAAAAAAAGCAAAAAAAATGTGACAAATAAAACAAAAAATTCATTAAACTTTTGATACCTAAAAGATAACAATGAAAAAAAAAAACGTGGAAAATTTTTTTAATCATTGAAAACAAAATTTTATCTATTTTTCTTGATAATTTTAATTATTTCATTTAATAAATTATTAATTCCAAATATTCCATAAGTATTTATCAATATTGTTTTTATTAATAAATGAAATAAACTGCAACGTAAACAAATTGATAACTTCAAATACTATTACGATATATTTTATCTGTTTTTCATAAACGCTTAATTGCTACATTGAATATCATGTAAAAATATAACATCTTTTGGTAATATTTTATCAAATTATGTTAAAAGATTATCAAGAGTTTTATGAGTTACAAAAATGATTAACTTTGATAATAAAGTAAATTATTTTGTTTATTAAAATCAATTAATAATTATTGACTTTTATTATGCACATTTTATGATAACTCTCGAACATGTGGTGTTGATAATTGTATTGTAGGATTTTATGTAGTAAAAGATGTATGAAGATTAAATATAAATAAATTTAATCGATAGTAGCTGGTAAGACCAAGTATCGGTTCTTTTCATATAATACAACTGAGCTATGACAATCCCTTGCAACAGTCGTGTTCGGAAACTAAGCGATTTCAGTCGTGTTTCAGCGCAAAGGCTTCCTTCAACAGGGAATGGATGACAGGCATAATTATTCACACAAAAAAAATGTTACAATTTTCTCATATATTATCATATTTTTTTAAATTAATTTAATCAGTGTAATGTGTGATTTAAATAAGTGGAGTAACTCTGTAAAATTGTAATTGATAGTCTTATATTCTGATTCAAAGTGTTAAAAGAAAGTTGAGAATTTACAAATCAACTTAAAATGTTTTCATTTTCGGGAAAGAATAAACGAAAAAAAATATCTAAAGTTGTTATTGAAACATCACCAGTAAGAATACAGGGTGTTACACTTTCTTGGCGTGATTTATCTGTTTATGCAATGAATCGTAACAGTAGCATTTGCAAACAACTCATAAATAATGGTAAATTGAATAAAAACTACTTTTACTTAGTTAAATAAAATTTGTCATATTTTATTTAATGGTTTATAATGATTTCAATGAGATGAATTGATTTTCTAGTTCGTGGAATTGTTAAACCTGGAGATCTAACAGCTATTTTAGGAGGAAGGTAACTTGCTGTAGTAATTGACTTCATAACAACTAATATATCATTTCTGAATATCTTTTTGCAATTATTAGTCTAATGGAAAATAATTTATTTGTAGTGGAGCTGGTAAAAGTTCATTGATGACAGCTCTGGCATTCAGAACAGGACGTGAGTATTTTTCGAGAATATTATTGATCATACTAATTAATTGAAATAGGTGATATTGATGGTGATTTATTGTTTCAATTATCAGCTGGTGTTGTTGTTCATGGAGAAATCAGAGTCAATGGACAGCCGGTTGATCCTACCTACATGAAACATTGCACTGGCTTTATGCATCAAGAAGATATTTTTATTGGAACTATGACAGTACTTGAACATTTGTGGTTTATGGTGAATATTTTTGTTCATCACAAGCTGTAACTCACAAAGTTTTTTCTTAATAATAATGTTTTTTATTACAACGACTTTAAGGATAATTTAATAATAATTATCAAACCGTAATACATGCTAAAATGAATTGCTGATAGTACAGAGTGAAAACTGTTTATCAAAGAAGTTTTATTTATATTCAACTGTTCTACTTCAACAGGCTAGAATGAAATTGGACAGAAGAATACCAAATTGGGAAATAGAAGAAAGAATAGACATTCTATTACGAGAAGTCAATTTATATAACAGAAAAAATGTGATGATTGGAACGGGTGGAGATGATAAGGTTTTATCTGGTGGAGAAAAGAAGAGACTAGCATTCGCAACAGAAGTATGAATCAATTAAATGAAATAATCTACTTACTCACATACTCATTAATTCAATGTTGTAATTAAAAAATATTTTTATAGCTGTTAACTGATCCAAAAATTTTATTTTTGGATGAACCAACTACGGGTCAAGATTCGACCTCTGCCACAGCTCTTATCTCACAATTGACCTCTTTTGCTAGTCGAGGTCGAACTGTTCTTTGTACAATCCATCAACCGAGTTCTGCTATTTTCAAAGAGTTCCATAAAATTATTTTGGTTGCTGATGGAAGAATTGCTTTTGCTGGCACACAAGAAGCTGCACAAAGATTTTTTGCCAAGTAAAATAAGAAATTTATTTAATGATTTCTTAATAAAACAGAAATAGATTATTTATGTCTTTTGTTTAAATTATAGACAAGGTTTTGAATGTCCAGAAAATTACAATCCAGCAGACTTTTTAGTTGCAACTCTAGCTATTACACCAAGAAATGAAGAAAATAGTAGACGAACAGCCCAAAGCATTTGTGATGCTTTTCTCACCAGTGAAGCTTGCAAGGAAATAGATATTGCATTACAACATGAAATTCATATATCTAAATCATATGATGTAAGTTAAAACTTCAATTCACTTCGTCAATCATGTTTTATATTTTTTATCACTTCTGTTTGATTTTTTCAGTGGAGATTAGATATTTGCAATGATTTGTAAGTATGTAACTCTCAAGAATGTACAAAAAATGAGTTTATAAATATATATATTTGATACTTAATTAGAATAATTAGTGATTAATTATTGATGTTTAGCCAAGAACCTAGATGGTGGTCAAGATTATTTTGGCTGACTCATAGAGGATTTTTGCAAGTGTTAAGAGATCCTTCTGTACAAATGTTCAGGATACTCCAAAAATTGGTACATATGAGAAGATCTAAAATATTATTGAAGATTAAAAAGTTGATTGCTAGCTAACACATTTATAGATTGCTATTATAATCTCCAGTGCGTCGCTATGATGGCAGGTCTTTGTTTCATTGGTGCAATAAATCTAGATCAACTTGGCATTCAAGCAGTTCAAGGAGTTCTTTTCATCCTTGTAGCAGAGAATACCTTTTTTCCAATGTATGCAACATTATCATTGTTTCCACAAGAATTAGCACTCTTTACAAGAGAACATCGAGCTGCTATGTATCCTACACATATTTATTACCTTTCTCGAATGATTTCGTTGGTAAGCAAAGTTGCATAAAATTATAATGTTTAATTTGCTAAATTTGTAAATATCTGACAGAGTATTTATTATTCATTGCAGGTACCAGGACTAATTTTAGAACCTGTCCTTTTCACTATGGTAATTTACTGGCTGACAGGATTACGAAGTACAATAGAAGCCTTTGGACTTACTTTACTTGTCACTATTTTTACTATGAATGTTTCTACAGCCTGTGGTTAGTTTTCTCTTATTCATTTACAATAAAAATCCAAATGATATTGATATTATTTATTTTATGCTTTTAGGATGCTTTTTTTCAGCAGCATTCGAGTCAATTTCATTAGGAATGGCATATCTTGTACCTTTCGATTATATTTTGATGATTTCTATGGGCCCCTTTGCAAAACTCAGGTAGGGTGAATGTACCCGGACTTGACCGTGAATTAATAATTGATCAGGTAGAAAAATTTGGGTTGAATAACTGTTCAAAGATTTGCTATCTTTGTTAGCTTCCTAGGGTCAGGTATTAGCTTTTATTGGTCAAGGATTCAAACCTACTTTATTTATGTCAATAAATCAAAAGGAAAATAAATTGACATGCAAATAAATACCAGGTTGAGGTTTCGGGGTTTCTTCTCCTTAATTTAAATTGTCAATATCATAAAAGTTCATTGAGAAGTTGGAAACTGATACGATCCGTATTGTAAACTCTAAAAGAAAGTTTATAGACATCTTAATTAGATCAATTTATTTTCTTTTCCGTCTTCTGTACTATTGTTACTTGTTTATTGTAGGAATAATTGTTTCGCTATTATTAAGAATTGTACTTACTATTCTAGCTCCTTGCCGATTTACGTGAAGTGGGTTAGATACATATCATGGCTTTTGCATTCAACCGAGGCCTTGACAATCGTTCAATGGCAAGGCGTACACAATATATGTATGTTTACAAATGTTCATCTGTAAATATTTATAAAATTAGCTTTCTCATTAACATACTTTTAACAGCATGTGAACTAGAACGAATCGAACTCCCTTGTATTCGAGATGGATCTGAAGTAATGGAGCTTTATGATTTCCATGAAGACAATTTCTGGATAGATATTCTTGCTATGGCCATAATGTTCATTTGTTTCCATCTTCTGGGATATTTTTGTCTCTGGAGAAGATGCCGAACGAAATGAATGTATAAATATAAGCGATACTTTTGAAAAAAATTATTAAACTTTGTACATCTTTATATAAAATGTTAACTACAATTCATCTTAAATAAGTAATAAAAGCAATTTAAATAAAAAAACACTTGCAGATGTTTGGATTACACATTTAATGGTTAATTTGTTATTAGAAGAAGTGCAAAAATGCGCAAATTTTTTATATTTTTACGATGTCGATAATGTAGAAATGTATGAAAATGGCCGATCAACGGTAATTTTTCGGGCGCCTGTAGATGGCGCATCGATAGAATGCGAGAGCTGGAGGTAAATACACCTCTCCGGAAAGCAACATAAAGCGGCCATTTTTACCATAGAGCAATCTAAAGCCGCTTGTTGCCGCTGCAAGCGAGGTAAAAAGAGCCTACAGCAAGCAAGCATGTGCGTATAACGTGTGCGTCCTCGTAGTCGTCGGCTTGAGGTGAGTGGAGAGAGAGAGGATATCGTCGTTGTTCTCTCGTTCGTATGTTCCCCACATAAAGCCTGTAGTGACGATTAATAATCGCAGCGGTACGGACGTGTTTAGTGTCGTTCTTAGTGTTTTTTTGGTGTTTGTGAAAATTGTACTCAATGCCAGTTTAACTTGCAAACAATTCTAACGAAAACATTGTATTGTGTTAAGCCAAGTTGTCGATTATGCGTCCTGACGCGACGCCCGTGTGCCGTAGCCGTGTTCGTTCCGGTACCCGTGAGTGCAGAACGACAATCGTGATCGCGATATGTGTCCCTGAATGCAGTTGAGAAGCAACAACACTGGAGATATCGAGTATTAACAAGGTAAGTTGTGTATCATTTTTATTTTCATTCGCCAACGTAGAGAATAAAAGAATAGAGAAGAACGTTGGGAAATTTTTATTACCACTTCTCGAGTAGGTATTCACTCGCCGGTTCTCTGAAATGGATCTCAAGCATCCTGAGCTCATATAGAAATAGAACCAGAAAATGTGAAAAATAGTTTCCTAAACAAATTAGACGTTTTTTATTTGTTCTTTGATGAAATGTTTAAATTATGACGTTTGTTTAAGTTGGAGTAACAGAGTGTTTTGACAGCTTCTTAAAAGAATGACGATATAAAGCCCAGTGAAAATGGTAAACTTTTTATCTGAATTTTTTTTCTCCCTTTTGTATATAAGGTAGAGAGGATGAACCGTGATTCGTGCATCTTTTCTCTGGAGGTTTTTTCTTTCTTCTCGTCTTCTTTCCCCACGTCTTCCGTTTTGTTCCGTCCAACTGCAAACGATCGAGTTGGAACCCCTTTTAAGCAGCGTACACGAGACTTTTTTATCCAACTCGCGTGAGTCGATCCGAATGTCCATAAGGAGAGCGATCTCTCTCGAGGTGCGGACGTGAGTACGTCCGATGCTGCCTCTACCCTTTACCTTTGTAGTCTTCACGAACAGCGTTCCTTTCGACGTTGCAAAATTGCCTCGACTCGATTGTACTCTTATACTTGCCATTTCAGAGAGTATCTCGACCTTGGTTCAGATCAATCCCTCTTCATTCTATATTATTCTCTTTCGCTAGAATTTATACTAAACTTGAGTTAAATGTGCAACAACTTGCAATAAGTTTAGTACGATACACATATTCTTCAGCTTCTCCTCTTATGGCTCAAGTGCTTATTATCCACCATACGTGTATAATACTAAGCCTCTCACCTTCTTTCAACCGTTTTTCTTTCAAGGACGGATAAAGATGATCTCGCGGGTGAGAAGACATACAAACCGTGCATGTCGACCACAATAATGACGTTACTATAATACAGCCGTTTCGTGAGCATCACATAAAGTCACGAGCTGGCGCCAGTATTCTCTATATTATGTATGCATACATCTTTAACCATTATTACACTTCGAACTTCAAATAGAAATCTTTGCTCTTCATTTTTATTTTCGACAAACGTTCTCACGAAGTCAGCAAAAAATGTATACAAACAAGCTCAATTGCTTCGTTCTCGAAATCAAACAGTAAGAAAGCTAATAAAAAGGCTTTTTGATGATAAATTCAATCATCTAGTATTTTATTATTCTTATCATTTATTTTAGTTTTTATTTTTTTTTACTATCTAAAAAAAAGATAGTTAATTTCCGGAAATTTTGATATGTAATTATATACTCTCGCCTTAAGCAAAAGACCTTATTTTTTTCTTGAGAATAAATTACATAGCTTTTGTTATGCTGTTTCATTTTTATTCCCAATGACATCCCGATTTTATTCTGATGGCTTTGGGATGATCGATGGATTTCATATAGATTCTTTTATTATTGAGAAGGAGGATAAAATATGGAAATATGATATACAATCATGCGATGGGTACACGAGCGTGTGTGCATTCAATATGATTTTAATTCATTCATGGAAGTGAGTCTGAATTTTTTATCAGTACATATTTCTGATTTTTTCATGGTCATTTTGTGTGTGATTATGTTTGTTGATTATGCAATGAAATATTACTAAATTATTAATAACGAAATTTCTGTGAATTCAGATGTTTAAATATTTATACTCCATTCCTGAAAATTATTAGTTAAAACAAGTATTCGTTTGTTAAATTATATTATCTATAAACATTTGTTGTTTATGGTTGTAATAACACAAAATAAAATGCCTTTCAATATGATGCATAAAAATGTAGGTGTTAAAAGGTTGAGTGGATGAAGAGAAATTTTTTTTTAAGCGTTAAATACTTTTTTTTATCAATAACTGGTATGATAAAAAAAAATGCATTAAGGAATCTTAGTAATTTAATTGATAAAATAGATTAAAAACAATTAATTTAATTGAAAACTTTAATAAAATGTATTTGATAAAATTGAATTGTTTTAAAATTTTTATGTATTGAGTTGGATTTTCTTTTTAAATTATTTTATTTATTAATAATGAAATAAAGAAAGAGTTAAATAACTGTTATTAATTATCCAATAATGATTATTATTACAAAATTTATTTATTTTTAAACCAATTTTTTGTAAATTAATCGAATATTCTCTCATCGATGTTGGATGCGAGTGAAGATTTAGTCGACAAATATGGATGAGACGCATAAAACGAGAGTGAGATCTTGACATGTCTTACAAGTTGTGTAAATTTTATTAAACTTTTATACCCTTTTTTTCCTTCATCTTTAAAACCTGCTAGCATCCGGTAAGTTTTAGTTTAGTGTTTAAAGAAAACGACCAAGCCTTAATTGCTAAATAAATAGAATACTGATAGTACTTTCTATGCATTGTAAAAAAAAGTTGATGTACAATTTCTCTTCTTTTTAAAATGATTTACTTCTTACAACTATATATATATATATATTTTATAAACTATTTTATTTAACCATATGTTTAGTTCATTGTTTCAAGTGATATCCGCTCTGTCAATATATAGGTATAGTGTCATAATGCACGTGTATGGATGTATATTTAGTGTCGACTGGTAGAAAATTATCGTGACGCAGCATGTGATTTTATTAACGTCATGGAGACTCTGAAATTTTGCCTCTAATCCTCTGAGATTTCCGACATTGAAGAGTAGACCAGACACCAGAATAATATTATTATGGAGTGCATATTCAATGTCAGTTGATTATCTTTCAAATGAATTTATAAAACAGTGTCGTAGTTTTTTGTCTTGTTTAAAATTTTAATTTAATTTTCTAGAAGAAATTAATGTGACAGATTTAATAAAAAAATTTTATTAAAATTCTTTTCCTCAACTATTTTATAATGAACATTATAATCTTTGTGACATTGTTATGTTAATACTTTGAGTTTATTTTTCTCAATTTTTTCATTTAAATTTATCGTAAAAGAAGTTAATAATTTATTTAATATATTTATCTAAGTTATTTCAGTTGAACAGTTTCAATTTTTTGTGTCAGGATAAAATTTTCAATTAAATTTATTTGATTTCATACAAACAAATGCAACAACGCTGATTTAATTTAGATACATGAAAAATAAAAAAAAATTATATCAGCATGGCCTTTTTTCCGATAAAATATACATGGTATGCAATACAATGAAAATTAGATTGAGTAAAAATATGAGAAAATATCTCATAGATAAAAATATTTCCGGTGAATAGTTTTATTTACAAATGTAATTGATTTGAGTTATTATCTGAGTAACTGAGTGGAATATAAAAAACAATAGAAAGAAAATCAGAAGTAGCTTTACCAATCATCACTTCTACTGATTTCTGTCGAGATAACGAGTGAGCTTAAAGAAGTTATTAAAAAGCTTTTGATCCAATTAACAAAAAAAATTATCTATTAAAATCGCTGTTAATTAAAATGCAACAAAAATTGATTCGCGTGCAAAAAAAAATCTACAAAGTGAAATATGAGTCTTCATTTTTAAATAATGAAATTTTAGAATTGATCATCTTGACTAAAGTATGAAAATATACATTTCTTTTTAGCGATTAATTAATTCTAATCTTTTACATTTATTTGTATTAATCAATATTTACTTTCAAAAAGCATTTTTTTGTCTCAGACAATTAATTAAATATTCTTGCTAATTTTTGTCTGCAATAGTAAAGTCAATTAGCATTTGATAAATAATCAAGAATATTAATATTTCATTTGTCATATTACCATGAATTTTTTTATTGTTTAAAAGGTCAAATTAACTAGATATTAATAACAATGTCATAAAAGATAAAATTTAAATTTCAAAAGAAAAACATTATCGAGTTCTTTTGAAAAAAAATAATGTTTTGCAAATTATTTTTGTCAATATCTATTAGTATCTTTACAAGTCCTATATTTATCAACAACAGCAACATAGAAAGATTTATTTATCATCAATGATAAATACTTTCAAAAAGTCATCAAGTTGGTATTATTTGAAAGAGTCGATGATTTCGAAAAGTCTCTTGAGTCTTGTTAACCCTCAACATAGCATGACAAGCACATATTCTGTTTCTCTACATAAGAATAAATAGTCAGACTGTAATTACAAGTAGTTCCTTTTCAGTTTTTACTTCCCAAGACTTGAACAAACGTCACTTATTCTTAAAGAAGTGTTTCTTCATCGATAAATCCAATCTAAGTGGTTTGTGTTTGCATATCATTATCATGGTTTCTCTGTTG